AAAGAACAAGTTGAACAGCAGCGGGGCCAGGTTGCATCCCTGTCGGAGGCCTTGGCCCACGTCGAACCATTCCGAGTACTGCCCGTCGTCCGTTCGGACGCGCGCGCTCATGCCCTAAGTGGCGAATGACCGCCAGCATNGCGAACAGCATGTCGAGCGTCGACCGGTGTGGGCGGAAACCGCTCTGCTCCTCCGGGAGGATGCCCTCTCGCTCGCAGTAGTGGCTCAGTCGTGTAGCGACGACCTTAAGCAGCACCTTGCCGGCGTGTGCGACGAGAGAGATGCCCCGGTAGTTGCCGCACGCCCTGTCCCCCTTCTTGAACAGCACTTTGATGGTGGCATCCTTCCACTGCTGTGGTAAGTCCCCAGTCTGCCACACGTCCACGGCAATGGCGTGGAATTTGCGGAGTGTGTGTGCGCCGTCCGTACGCAAGATTGAGTTATCGTATAGAAGTATAATATAGCTCCTCGGCTGACAGTCCAGGACAAAATTTCAGCTGCAATATTCCTGAAAGAACAACTGCCAAACAGACGGCTTGTGCCGTCGAGGCAGTGCCCACTCTTCTTAACGTTGTCGATACATAAATGGTCTAGACTACATACCTTTATTCTTCCCGCAAGTCTATGAGGTCTTCTTTGTAACAACGAGGTTGTTGGTGTCATCACGAAAACGGTGATCGTTGGCGTTCGTGTGTCGCCCTGTCATCCCCCCCCCCTGGTGGACATCACACCTACTCCTGATTCTGTTACGTGGACCTGCCCTACGCTTGCATGTTGTATGCCCCCCGCGTTGTGCAGTGTTCTGCTGCTGTTCGAAACACTGCGGGTCAGAGGACCCACCGACGAGCGAAAGCTTCAAATGGCCCAGCAGGTGGGCCACAAAGCAAGACGCCGTTGTTGTTGTTGTTGTTGTTGTTGTTGTTGTTGTTGTTGTTGTTTGCAAACGATCTACTGAAAGCAAAAAAAAACTCGACCTAAACGCAGAACATTTTCAATGCACACCAACCACGCCCTCACCTATTCTCGGGGTTGGGGCTGCTGTAGCACTAGTGGTATGATCGTTGCCCATTGCCTGCGATGGCGGAGTGGGCTAGAGTGGAAAACAGAATGACCGACAGTGTACCCACATGAATATGAAGGGTCAAAACTTCGGGCGCGTTCGACGTGGCCTGCCGTCAGTGCCCCAATATTCTGCGGCGGCGGCAAGAAACCCGGCACGTCATAGCGTGCGAGCACGCACGGGGGAAACCAAACCATTTCCAGTAAGAAACACTTGGTAGTACAGGTGGTATTTTGTGTGTTTGTGGTAGGCACCCTAGCAAATCGAAGGGACAGAGTAAAGATGGTGCGTTTCTATTCACAACCAAACCCAGGCTTCCGCTTTGAGCCCCCTCAGAACGCAACGCCCGCGCCGCCCTTCGTTACTCGCGTACAACACCCACCACGACTAACGAGCGCAGCTCAAGGTTTTTGAAAATGGTTGACCCTCGCAACCCGCCCAAGCTTTTCGTCAACCGATACGAGGACCCGATAAGAACGGACGTGCTCGTTCTGGATGAAGAGGCCAATTGGATCGGTACGTGCAACCCAGTACATATCACACCTTGCATTGTACGAACGTAGTGCCAGACATGTATTTTCTCTTTATGCATCTGAAAATGTTCACGTGTAGAAGCAGTACATGTGACGGACTACAAATAATATTGTATCTCTTTATTATAGAACATACACCAGAGTGCAGATAACATGACATACCAGCAGTTGGATCCATACAGCTGGAAATGACGGGTTTGGCTGTTGCGTCAACTCGACACTTGCGAAGATGGAGTGCACGACGACGCACACGAAGTGAAAGGAGTGAAAGGAGATGCCTGTACTGCGGGCTAGCCCGGCCCGGCGCGCGACCAGAACCAACCGTGGTTTTGTCGCTGTCAGGAAAGCCACAGGGTATCGGAAGATAATATTGTGAACCTCGCAGGCAACTTACCAGGTATACAAGAGGGATCTCAGCCCCGCGAACGCGAAGAACGAGAGCGGATTGAATGCGCGTGGCAACAACAGAATGGAACGCCGTTTCCGCCGATGAACGCGGTTGCCTGGCAGGAAGGATAAACGTCCTGGTGAAAAATGGAACGCAGTGCGGTTTGCGTGAAAACGCTTTGACCGGCAGGAATATTGGTGCAGGCAACCAGTTACGTATCATACGCGGCGCCTCTAGCGTCGGCAGTTTGCATGGCCTCTCATTCGCGGAGCCTTTACGTGCGCTCCAATATCCAACGCAGACCCAACGCAGACCCCCCCGTCCGTCCGTTCAGGACAACAGGGACGCCCTCATGCACCGCCCTCCGACCTCTCCTCGCAGTGATCGTAGTCGTGTAGCCCCCCGTCCCTCAATGCGACCTGAAATACTTCACAACTTCCTATCCTCACACGGTTTATCGTGACAGTGACGTACCAACCAAGTGGCGGGCGGCACGAGATTGTTCAGCACATGTACCTCCGGTTCAGGGAAGGAGCTGTCTATGGAGTGGGGTTCGAGGAAGGTCGGAAGGCTTGCAAGGTTAGTCCTTTCGCTGTATTTACGTTTTCACCGTTGAAGAAGATGCTGGAATTCGTGTTCGTGTTGTTGTTGTTGTTGTTGTTGTTGTTCGTGTTAGTGGTGGAGGTGGGGGTGCTGCTGCTGCTGCTGCTGCTGCTGCTGCTGCTGCTGCTGCTGCTGCTGCTGCTGTTGTTGATGTTCTGCTCTTCCTCTTTATACTCTTTACAGTATTGCCTTCTTCTCCAAATGATCTTTACCTCGAACCACGGCAAAAACCCAGTCCGGGCTACAAACCTGTCAACAGTTGTCCCGTCGATGGATATGTTGCTCCCACTAACACCCTCTCACCAACGCATATTTTCATGAAGTGTCCGTCCAGTTGGTTCTTATTTCGACACCTACCCCCCTTTTCTGCCTTTTCGGTTGTTTTTTCGTGAGGGGGCGCGCCCTAACGTTTTCTCGCTCGTGTAAATCGCTTCGAATTTACTTTGTTCGTCACCCCGTTCGTGAACTTCCAATTGTTGTATTTGGCCGCGGCGGCGGCTGTTATGGCGGCGGACATCATGGCTCGGTCAGATCTCGGGAAAGTACAAGCGCAACGAAGGAGCGAACCAGATGGCTGTGGTCATGACATGCAGGTGAGGACGACGGCGTTCGCCACCGGGGGAAGTTTGGCCCCGTCGTACGCCCTCAATGTATTTATGGGCGTCTATCTATCGGCTTGCACCAGCACTCTCGTTTCCTCTGCTGTAGCGGGGCCCGCCAACGTAGTGATATTGGCCATGGGGTTAAGGTTGTGTTGACGAGGGAGGGTTGGTAGGTTGGCTGATTGTCGTTCACCCCCATTCGGGGCATGTAAAGCCACTTCGTCGAAAAAGGACCATTACCAAGGATCGCTCAGGGGCAGACGCCGCGGTTTCAAGCACGATACCCAAACACCGCATCGGGCGCGCGTTGCCTCGAGGGCACCCGAAAGGACGCTTACTAACTGAACAGCACCCTCCGGTACGTTTCGCATTGGCGGGCAATCTCCGATGGCCGGGAAACTTGGAATTCCGCGCGTAGGCGAGGCGCTCGATCATGTTCTCATCGACAGCAGCTATCCATTCATAACCGAATTGCGGTACCGGTGAACAGTGGTAACCCTCCCCCCTCCCCGACTGTACCTTGTTGCTTTTTCTTCGGCTAGGTTTTCAAACGATGTCGACACCGTCATGTTTCACGGTTCGGGAAACGGGACGGGGCTGGTGGGAAACTGCTACATCCGCGAGCTCGACCGCTTCTCCTCTTTCTCGCAAGTGCCTCTCCTTCCCCAGTGCTTGGTACCAATAGTTGGTGTTGTTTCTGCTGCTGCTGCTGCTGCTGTTTGTTGAAAAACGTCATCCATCGTCACAAACCACGAGATAAATTTGTTCAACGCTGGTTCTATCCACAAGCACGACTGACTGCAACTCTCCCATTTTCTGTTAGTCCTTGTGGTGTCTTCCAAACCGGCAGCACGGTTTCTAGTTCGGTTGAGTGACGTCCCTTGGCTCGGTTTTGATCATGCGCATGTTCTCCTTGAGTACGCCGAGCCAACAACGGGACCTACGGTAGGACTCCGAGTTGTCCTCGCTGCGTATGAACTCAACAGCAGTAACTACGGCATCACGTCGATCCTTCTTGTGGCCGCGGCAGAATAGCTTGACGTTTTGACACGGAATATTCCGGGGTCGATAACTTCAAGTACACGACTACGCGTGATATTGAGGCTCACCCAAGAAGCGGTATCGATAGGACAGAAAACATTGTTGAAGCACCTTTGTCGAAGCAGGAACGGACGATGTTGAACTACCTTTGGCGAAGCAGGAACGAAAGATTCGTTATCGGTAATCTGCCTTGTGGGAACAGCAGTGCTCCGTCAAATCGAGGAGGCGTGGTCAATGGTCTGACCAGTAAGGCATGCAATACATGAGTGCGCCCCCTCCCCCCCCACCATGACCGTATTCTGACATAGATCCTTACCACGCCTACGGAACATGGGCGCGACCAAATACAAGGCATCGTTCCTGATGCTCAAGATGGAGGGCATGGGAGACACTCATATACGCGCTCGGCTTCACACTAGTAGGGTGCAGAAATGGGCCGGGAACCTATACCCCGACGATGGTGAGGCTCCCCCATTTACTTCTCTCGCACTCATGATACAATAATTGCTGCGACATACCACAGACCAACATGACAGTGGGAGCGAGGGGACCAGCGGTGATCATCCCCGTTGCCTTGCTGAAAAGCACAAGGTGTTGTTGTTTCTTCCTTCGCAGGCGTGACAAGGTGTCTCCCACCTATGCACTTTCCCGCCTTACCGAGCGGAACGATCTAAACCAGCCCATCGGCAGAAAGGACAACGCAACGAGTGTTTGACCGACGAGTACCGTTGTCTATCCCTAAACAAGAGCCGGGGGATGGGTAGGCCTGCACTCTCGTGTGGGAACGAAAACAGGCGACAAAGCAGTAGATTATCGGTTGGTGTTTTCTGAGCTTCGTGGAGAGGAGGCAATTGAACGATGGTACCGCTCTTTGGATGCAATGAGGAGATGATTCTTCAAATATTTCTCAAAACAAGCCATCGTTATCACACACCACTTGCATTGAACCATACGCACACGCACACCCTCACTGGTCCCACATCATGCCATTATCTGTTTTCAGCTGCCGCCCTGAGACTGAAGTCTTTTCATTGGCCAGCAGCAGGTTGGCGTGGTCGATTCTATTTTTACGATTCACATCAACTTGACGGGGGTGGGCTTTCTCTCGATTCGGAACAACGCCATTATTTTCTTTTCTTGGTTGTGCAGCGATACCTCTGCCGGTATCTAACAAGCGCTCGTCCGGCGGAGCCAGACGGGGCGAGGCGACCAGCCCGGGCCCAGAACCCTTCGCTCCCGACGAGGACTTGGGCGGCATCGGAAGACCAAGGGCTACCACCGCCAGGTGAGCCACGCCGTCACCACCCGCCCCTTTGGTTTGTCTGTACAAACCATGAGTTTGTACGTGTATTATGATTTATCGTCAGTCACATGGCTGGCCGAGCTCAGCCGTTTGTTGTTTTCAAGTGGGTTTGCGTGGGTGGGCGGATTCCCCTCGTTTTCCTGCCGGGGAACGGAGAAATGGGCAACACGCGATTCGCTGGTAACGTACTTCTTTTTGCCGGTTGGCTGCCGAACAAGTCTTGGATGGGGGTGGCGTACTTCTTCGCCTTGGTGCTGAACACCCCCCCGTCAGTTGTAACGGTACCGACGACACGCACTTGGAACAAGGCTTTCGGCAACGCGTCGCCGTGCAAAGCTGGAATCGACTTATCACAGAAACAACTTCATACGGGGGTCTATTTGTTTCTAGCGGAAAAAAAGGAGCTCGTGGTTCCTGCACTAGTCGGCGTTTGGCCACCGGATTTTGGCCGGCCTCGGACCAGGCACGCGACACTAGATTTGGATCGATATTAACCAACATGAATGCTCCATCTTTGTCACGCGAGTCCACCGGCCTTGTACAAGGGCGACACGGGCCATACTAATAGTTTGGCCCTAATACAGCAATATCGAGCCCGGTTCTTTGACCGTAGGTCAAGCCTCTAGACGATGCTACCTCGTATTGCACGTCCTTCGACCGTCTTGATTGAGTGGACGAAACACCGATCTCGCCCGCAACAATTCCAACTTTTCCAGGCTGCGAGTGATGCGGACGTGCGTTTTACGAATATCCATGGCAGCTCGTTCCACTGCCGTACAATTTGACCCTGCAAAGTTAAGAATCGTAATCAATTCAAACACACCAATATCAGCAGTGCAACAGACGCGAGAAATGGAAACGAGCCGACCTGTACGCAATCTAGATGAGAAGCAAGCTCGCTGAGACAACCGGACGGAATACCAACGAGGTACCGTGTACATCGTTTGACGCGTTCTCTATGAATCAATGCACTCTCTCTGTTCCTTGAGTGCTGGGTCAAGGATAGTTCATGATAACGCTGCAGCGATAATGCTTGTCCGGGTGAAATAAACTATCCTATTGACGTCGTTTAGCAACCTCCATTCAATCTTTAGCGCCAGACGCGTCTTCTTGTTGGAAGAACAGCACGCAAGAAACGAAGAGACACCGCGAGAAAATGGCACTATCTGTTCCGTCCGCAGCACGAGGAGGGCGCTCTCTCGAAGACGCCGGGGCAGCGACAGCGTCGCCAGCGGTGGGGGCGGCGGCGGCAGCGGTGGCATGAGCATGAAGAAGGTCCTAGGGTACTTCCCTAGCTTCGGCAGGAGAAAATCTCGCTCATCGGCACCACCAGGACCCACTCCACCCGCCTCTGCGCATTCGACCACCTCGACCAACGAGGTTTGTGTGTAACTCCCTCCATCTCTTTGTTTGTTTGTGTAGAGATAGTTTTTGTGTGTTTGTGTGAGTGTTGCTTCCTCGTTTGTTTGTCTGTTTGTTTGTTGCTTTGTGTTCTTCCTTTCCCAATACAATATAGTGTTCCACCACCCCTGGTGCCACCTTGTGGTTCGTTCGCGTGTAAATCCCTTTCAGGCAGATGGATATTGATGCCTTAGTGTAGTACTAAGAAAGGCGGCTCAGTAGATTACGTCGCAATCTTCTGGCGTTTGGGACGTAGGTTCGAATCTCGGTTGAGTCACACAAACTGTTTTCTTCCCTCAATATGACCAAACAGTTGTGGAAGGTTACAATTTCGTGTGAACTGCACGCAAGAATTTGGCTTCACAGTCGACAAGGGATGGGAGCGAATGGATCTTTTGCGCGATAACAATCAAGGCAAGAGCCGCAGAAAGTAGGCGGAGAACAACCTCCTAGGTGGCCTTTCCCCCGCGTGACCCCGGCAGGTTCGCCCAGAATGGTGCGGAAATAGAACGGTGGACTCGTCGTCGTCCAGAATTCACGGGATGGCGAAACGCCATTCCGCGGGTCGGCGCAAGGTGTGTAGTCTAAAGCTCCCCCCCTTCTATTTCCCCCACACACCGACCCGCACGCTCGAATATCTGCGTGTCACCTGTTCATTTCTGTATTGCATCACCCGCAGCTTCCCCCCTGGGTGCTCACGGGAGAGGAAACAGGATCGACCCGTGGGGGCGGCGGCGGCGGCGGGCGGACGGACAGCAGAAGTGCAAAAGGCTACACCTACTCCATCGCGCCTTCGTCGGCCGCGGGGGCCCCGCGGACGTCCTCGGTGAGGGGTGACTCTGCGACACAAAGGGTCTATCTCTAGTGCACGCACACCCCTGCGGTTCTAGTTGTTCTGAAAAGCTGGTGTGGGCTTTGCTGCTGCTGCTGCTGCTGCTCCTGCTGCTGCTGCTGCTGCTGCGTCTTAGTGTTCGGGTCTTCGTCCTCTCTGTGCTGCGTGCTCCATGGGCCTCAACCTGCTCACTGCCGGGTTTTCTCGATCAAGAGACTTCTTGCTGCAGGACGCAGACCACGCTTGCTTGCTGATGCTCTTTTTTTCTTGTTTCAGACGTAAATTGTGACCTGGGGGTCGAGATTGGAAACAACGACGTCTCCGGCGGTGATCAGTTACACCCCGACGCTCTTCGAGGGAAAGAATGGACGAAACACACGATGAACAGCAGCAGTCACAACAACAATAACAACAAGAATAAGACCAAAAACAACGATACTTTCATTCGAGGCGTGAGAAATCTGACCGGTCACCCATGGCAAATGCCTTCCGTCCGGTCGCCCCCCCCCTTGCTGTCGGCGCCTCCGTGCCATATGTTCCTTTCGTCTTCTCTCGGGGGTGGGTGATGACGTCACTGGCCACCGGAGCAGCAACCGTCCAACCCTTACCTCCCAGATGATGCGGTAAGTTGGTCCCGAGGCCAAAACGAACCGGGTTTTGTACCCGCGCCGTTTTCGTAGGGAACGAAATGACGATGGTCCCGGACATTTTTTCTGCCAAGAATCCAAGGCTCGCCCCAACAGCACATCCATCCACCCCCGTGTCGTTCGGTTAAGGTTTTAGTCCTCTTTGTTGTCGAAGTTGGTACAGCCACCCGAGGTCCGCTCGGCCCGCTTTACTGGGGTTCGGAGCATCTGTGTTCAAGACACGTCGAACGCTTGCGCGCTCTCGCGCGAAGACAACAATCACCAACGACGGTTTCGTACTTTCCACGTTGCTAGTTCGAGACACATAGCAGGTAATTATACTGTCCTAAAATATCACCGCAGTAATCATTCTACAATGCCCTTGCATCGCAGGTGATGTGTCGTGCACGCTCGACGAGGTGCTAGAGAGATTGGGCTCGCCATGGTTGTGCCCCTCTGGTCCTTCATTCTCTAACACCATGATACTCACCCCTCTCTCTCTTTCCTGTGCCACTTCGTGCATGTTGGATCGCTGCAATACAGATCCCGGGCAGGTCTATGGTTTAAATCCCCGACGACCATCTCCGGTGCTTCGCAACAAGGACATTACACGCGGGANGGGGGGGGGGGGGGGGGGGGGGGGGGGACAACAACTCACCAAGGGATGGGAGGTGGGTATGCATCTAGACAACAAGGCGGATGTCCCTTGTTTGTGTGAGCTCTAAGGCTACGCGGGGGTGGGGTTTCCGTGGCGGCTCCAACGGCAAGCTTCTTATCTGGGAATGACGGCTGCAGTGTATATGATTGACCGAGCAGTGCCCATGCATCGGCAGATGATGGTGCGCCTTTGTTCTGGTTGAGAATGGGTACCGTTGACAGCGAGGGAAAGTTGGAATATTATCGCGGGGATGTGTAGTCGAGTGTCGTCAATGACGACAATTGTGCATGGTTTCTGAGTTACATGGTGAAAGAAGTTTTTGTGACTGTTATTGTGCTTCAGAGTGGTGGCGGTAGTGGACGCCACTTCAGTCTAGAATAATCTCTGCCCGTGTGTGCTCCTTCCTCTTCGCAAGTGATGCACACGATGTATGGTTATCATCCAGCGAGGCTTCGGCGGCGTGGATTTTGCAATATGGGTACACGTAGTTTCCTTTTAACACTACGATAGCCATTGAATCATTGAAATACAGGAAAAATGCTTTCCCAGTTAGGACCAGGCACAACAACAATGTGTTGGTTTGGTGCTAAGTATTTTCTGCAAACAGGTTCCTGATGGGCTATCGCCTTTTCGCGAAAGGAAGCAGAACAATATGCGAAATACAATTAGTGTATTCAAAAGTTTGTGTGTAGGGCACCCACACGTGGAAGCCGGCGTGACTGAACGAATGAAGAAGTCGGGAGTTGGTTGTGTTCTTGTCACCAGGGGGGTGGGTGTGTGACTGCCGCGAATTACCCCTCCTCGGGCGTAGTTTAGAAATGACAAGAGATACATTCCGCACCTACGTGTACACTCCACGCGTTTGGCCGTCACAATGGTGCAATGCACTATCAGCATCATAGAGGGCTGCAGAAGAAGCAGAGTGAAAGTTTGGATAGTTAGCGCCCACACATAAGAACCCGGGAGCTAAGACATCCAGGCTAAAAAACTACGGAGTACTTCGTAGGAACTTCAAAAACTTGGCACAAAACAAGTCAGGTTGGTTTAGGCAAGAATTCCAAACTTAAACCCATCCACTAAAACCTACTAGGTATGTACAGTAGTCGCTGTTGGGTACCCGACAGAAACAAGAAACAATGAGCCTCGCCCGCAATAAGTCGTTCTTCTTGGGTATTCGTGAAAAAGATAACAAGAAACATAGGCCTACTAATCGAAAATCGGGGTCATTTGGCGGGGGCGCATATTTGGGGGGAGGGCCGGGGACATATGCATATACATACCCATGTATCCCCGTGTTTTCCGACGAGGCGTCGGCGCTTCGGGGTCATTTTGGGGGGGACATATACTCATGTATCCCCGGGTTTTCCGCCGAGGCATCGGCGATTCGGGGTCCTTTGGGAGTGGGGGGGTGGGGACATAACCCATGTATCCCCGGGTTTTCTGCGGAGGCCTCGGTGCTTTTGGCGCCCCGCTCTCGCTGTCCGCGTAGTTACGCTGTGCACTAGCAGCAGTACGATGCTGCAGATGCCAGGAGGCTGTGTACCCTACCTCAGAGGTTCACACTCCGTGCGGCCCCAACCGCGAGAGGCTTGGAATTGAAATATGAAGATGTTTTTTCTAATTGCTGACTCCCGAGTCAGATTGATGTTGCTGGTACTGAAGCGGAGTGATAAGGGTGGCGAGCTTAGGGCTGCACCCCTCTCCTCGAATACCGGACAAATAAGCCAATCAAACGCAATATCTAGAATGCTTCCAGAATGCTTCTGGAATCCCTCCTACGTTCTAGAAGAGTATCAAGTGCAACCTAGGTCTAGCACGCTCCCAGAAGGTTCCAGAAGGTTCCAGAAGGTTCCAGAAGGTTCCAGAAGCTACACACGTTCTACGTAGATGTCCCGATCGACCTTGACCTAGCATGCTTCCGGAATATTTCTAGAATAAGAGAATACATGCCACGGAGAGATAGATTCCTTTCTACTGCTACGCTACGCAGACTAGTTGCTGCAATCTTATTCAAACGTTAAACCGTATCCGACTACTGGTGGTCTCGACGCACGATTTTTCCTGACACGACCCCTCAATCAAGCAACTATTTCACAATGTTCAACCGCATCACCATATCCATTGCTACCTCTACCCCTCCGTTGGCATCGTATCAAAAACTAAGTCCTTCATGTATGACGCGTGTGATAGGAAGCTTAAGAGATATTCGATCAACACGAGAAGTTCTTGATCTGCTGAATAATGGAGGCGAATCGGTGCTTTGGTAGGTGCTTGTTCGCGATATCAGCCAACTGGTACTCGCTGGGCCGGTGGTGAAGAGTGATGGTGCTCGCTGGGCCGGTGGTGAAGAGTGATGGTGCTCGCTGGGCCGGTGGTGAAGAGTGATTTGTCCCCGCAGTACTAGCTCCCGGAAGAAAAAGTACCTCAGGGCCACGTGCTTCGTGCGTTGAGAGTGCATGGCATTCCCGGCCACTGTCAGCGCTCCGGTGCTGTCGCTGTTGATGGGAACCGATCCGAAGGTCTTGAAGTTGAGTTCCGTCATTAAAATTTGAGATATAGACCACCTCTCTGGCTGAGTAGTTAAGTGCTTGAATCTCGGCTTCGACCGTGCTTTGCGGGGTTAGAGTTTGAGTCTTCTCACCGTAGCTGATGAGTTCTCCAGCCAGGAAGAAGAGATATCCCGTGGTAGATCTTCCGTTGTCGGGGTTTGCTCCGAAGGATGAATCCCTAAACGCCGCTAGCCGAAACTGTCCTCTCCTGTGTACGATAGGAAGAACTTGATTACCCCGAAGGTATCGCAGAACGTGCTTGGCTGCTGTCATGATCACTTGGGCTGAGTTGCTGCAGGCCTTGCGTAAGACAGGTCGAATCGCGTGCACTGGGCCAGGTAGAGGATGCTTCCCGTCATCGACTGGTAGATTTTCTTGTCCGTGGGTCCTAGGATTTGGTCCTGAGGTTGATTCGTGGAAATTTCCGCTCCGTATCCAGGAGTGCTCACTGGGTTGGCCTCTTGCATTCCGAACCGTTCCAGAAGTGTGTTCATTTAGTGCTCCTGTGAAATAGCCAGGGTTCCTTGCTCAAAGTCCCGCTCTACGTCGATCCCGAGGATCCGCTATACCTCTCCCATGTCGGTCATCTCGAATCGATCCGTGAGCTCCTTCTTCTTCTGATCCACGAGTTTCTGGTCTCCTCCCGTGATGAGAATGTCGTCTACGTAGACCGTGAGAATCACGATGATGTTGCCGCCGGTATACACGTACACGCAGGGGTCGGATTGAGTCTTTTTCCATCTGAACACTGTGAGGGACTCGTCCAGGGTGTCGTTCCAGAGCGCCGGTGACTGTGATAGGCCGTAGAGGCTCCGTTCTAGTTTGTACAAATCGAGTTCTCCTGTTGCGGAGTTCTTGGCGGATGTACCAGGGGCGGGTCTGACCTACACGTCTCTGTCGCAGAGGGCGTTTAGGAAGGCACCGACAACGTCCAGTTGGTAGATGGGCCAGTTGTTGTGGCAGCCAATGGCGCACGTCATGCGAATGCTCCCGATACGGCATACTGGGGCGTAGCTGCGTTCGTAATCCTGTCCTGGCCCTTGACGATGTCCTTCGACTACCAGGCGAGCTTTGAACCGTCCGTCCAGCTTTTCTTGAAGACGAATTTCGTTGCGAGAATCTTCTCTCCCTTGGGAACGCTAGTGAGGGGCACCAGAGTGTAGACGATGTGTTTTCGCAGATTGTCCATTTACTTGCTGCACGCTCCTTTCCATTCTTCGCGGTAGGGAGAACTCATGGCTTCGTCGTAGGTGTTGGGGATTTCGATCGCTTGATTCGTCTCTTCCAAGATCCCGGGTGGTCGTGAGTGGTCGTGACGTAGGCGTGAGCACGCGGCACCGTGAAGGGGTCGTCCGCCACGTGGGCGAAATTCTCAGTATCGCCAGGGCATGGGAGTTGGGCTTGATCGGCTATCTCAGCCAGCTGAGTGAAGGAAAACCGGATGGCTCCACGCGGTCCGTTGCAGCTTGGGCTCGACCGCGGTCGTTCATGGTGACTTGCAGATTGGCAGGAACCACGTTAACGTCGAGCTAATCGTCGCTGGTGGGCTTCCCGCGCGTGCTAGCTCTGGTGACTTGCACGCGCCGCATGCCGAAGGATTCAGTTGATGCAGAAGTGCCCGGTTCAGACGGGTTCGACGATGATGGGCTGGGGCTAGATGCGTGGGCTTTGGATGACGGTCCAGCTGGCGTCGACGAGAGATGCGGTGATGGGGCGTCCCCGTCGCTGACATCTTGCCTGTTTCCATGTTCGTCCTCGTTCCCGTCCAGTCCTAGGCGAAGCTCCTCCCAAGCGAGATAGTCTTGCTGCATCTTCCGGACTTCTTGCCGAAGGAGTTCGTTCTGCGCTGTGAAGTCCAGGTCGCTCGTTGAGCGGGGGCTGTCCTGCAGGGAGGTGAAGCTCAGCACGTCGCTCTCGTACCCGTGTGCTTCAGTGGAATGCTGGAATGGCACTGACCGGGGTGGAGATTCGATGAAAGCCGGCTCTCGACCACGGCCTCGTTGGATGGATTGAATACCCGGTAGGTCTGGCTATCGAGGCCGAAACTACATAGCTTGCCTTCGGAAGCTCTGCCGTCCAGCTTCTTTCGGTATCGCTCGTGGTGAACGAAGGCGCGCGCTTCAATGACCCGAAGTCCCGAGAGTTCAGGTGACTTATTGTGCAACTTCGAGTATGGCGTAGCTCCCCCCAGTGCTGAGTGGGGGGACCTGTTCAACAGGTATGCTGCAGTCAGCAATAACTCCCCCCACATGGACGGCGGAAAATCTCCATCCTTGAGAAGACACCGGGTGACTCTGGCCAGGGTTTGTCCGTCCCGTTCCGATACACCAATTTGTTGAGGGGTGTTGGTGGCGGCGTATTCGAGCTTGATAGCTGAATTTTTGCAGTAGTCCCGTAGTTAGGATCCGGTGTTCTCGCCTCCCTTGTCGCAGCGGATGGTCTCGATCCGGTAGCCTCCTGCCGCTGTGACGCACATGTGTTACGTGTGCACCGACTCGGTCGTGTCAGATTTCTTGCGAAGCAGGTACACTTTTTTCATTTTCGTGTAGTCGTCGGTGATCTTGCACGCGTTCGGAAGTAGCCTCCTTCATATTTCACAGGTGGATGAACAGGCCCCATGTTGCCGATGACCACAAGTTGTCCAGGCCGTGATAGTTTGCGAGTCGATTGCTTCGGGTGGGGGGGCTGCTTGTGTTTCGCGATTTGGCAGGCCCCGCAAGTGGAGAGACTGTCGCGATAGTCCACCCCTGTGCCCGTGTCCTTCCAAAGGATGTCCAGGCTCCGAGCATTAAGATGTCCAAGCCTCCTGTGCGAAGGTGTCCGCGCTCACAAGCGTAAAGCAGACGGCGTTCGCCGTGTGGGTCTGTGACTGCTTCTGGTGGGGTACGAAGGATCTCGTGCCAGATGACTGGACGTTCTGCTCGAACGTGATGTCGAGGGTGCACTTGCCTTGGTCTCGCGGATCTTGTGTGAGTGGAATCACCTTGCCTTGAAAAGGGAGGTGCGGAGTGCTCTCTTCGACGACGCAGCGCAATCCCTTTTTCAGGAGGGAGGTGGGCGAAAAAATGTTGCGACCAAGCCTCCGGAACAACGAGTCCCTGAATCCGCACGCGCAATTGTTGTCCTCGATTGTCCTTGACGGTGCAGTGTAGGATGCGCGTGGCCGTGCCTGCGAGTTGGCTTTCTCCGGCCACGTGGACGATCTTTGGAGAGTTTCGCTGGGTGAAATCGTAATGGTTTCCGTCGGGGATGAGGCGATTGTCAAACATGGTCTCCGATGCTCCCGTGTCTGCCAGCAGTCCTACCCCGGTGGAGCTCGCGGCAAAGTTGCGTCCTGAGATGCGGGAACACGTGGCGAACATGAAGCCGCTGTCGAAGGCGTCCTCGTCCCGGGTGAAGTCGACAACTGCCACTTCATTGTTTGAGTCGTTCTTGTTGGACGCCGACGAGCAGTGAGTGCAGTCGGAGCACGCGGTGAATGCTTGACTTGAGTCCTTGGTGTCTTTCTGGGCGCTTTCCTCCTTGTTGGTAGCATTCCTCGTCCGAGTGAGACGTAGTGTTGTGCTTGGAACACCACTTGGTAGCTCCGGCGGGCTTCGTTTCTTCTTCGCCCTGTTCTTGATCTTGGGGCAGTTCCTCCTGATGTGCCCCGGCTCGTAGCAGCTGTGGCAGATGATGTAAGACGCGGTCGTTGCCATGGCAAATCCTCGACCAGCTATGCGTCCCTTCCATCCCTTGCGCGATTGTTCGTCCAAGAAGATGTTGCGCATGGTGGATTGCATATCCGGGACGTTGAAGTTTGGGTCCCTGAACACCATCAGTTTGACGTCCTTATATTCGTCGGAGAAGCCCTGTACGCAGATGTCCTTGAAGCGGCGGTCGGAGATGGATTCTCCCATTTTATCCAGCTGGGTGCGAAGTAGGTGCTTCTGGTTGAAGTAGTCGTCGGGATTTTCACCAGGGTTCATGGGGTTGTTCTCCAGCTCCTCCATCTTCGCCCTGATGACCTCGTCCGTTACCCTGTCATAGTTGTTGCAGAGCTCCTCGAAGGCAGCTTGTCCGTCGCCGCTGATGCCAGTGTCGTCTTCATGCTTCTGTACCGACAAGGCGGCTGGAAGTTCCACTAGGAGGACAAGAACGGCGTAGAGATCTTCGTTTGCCCTTGTGTAGGAGTCGAAGGCCGCTGTGTCTGCGGGATCTGGCTTCCTTTGTTTCTTCAGTAGTGGCAGGATGTCCTTCCTGGTCACGCCTAACACCACGCAGAATTTCTTCATTCATGTCTTGAACTCAGCTGTGGGTCCTTTCCGTCGAATTTCTTGAGGCCTTTGATCACGGTCTCCAGGTTTGTAGAAATATCGCTGGCGAACGCGCTTCCACCTCCTGTGTTGCTCGTTGCGGTATCCATTGCTCGTTCCAGCTTCATTTTCTTCGTCTTGATAGAAGAACTTCCTGCTGCAGGAGTAGTTTGCTCGTGGTACTACTGCCTGTACCCGAGACTTCCCCACCCCGTTCCTGCTACTGATCTAGAGGACTCCGGTTGTGGCTTTCTTGTTTCCGATCCCGCTCCATTCTACTGATATAAAGAACTCCGGTTGCTGATCGCCTCCACTGATGATACAGTGGAGTTCCTTATACACCCGATGCGTATGTCGCTCGAACCTCCCGCGCACGTGACCCTTGCTGCTAGTTAACCACAGAGGTATGTTAAGGAGGACCCGATTCGCAGGGTAACCGTCGATTGACTTTTACCTGAATCGGTACACCTTCACAAATAGATGGCGTCAGCTGGATACTGGTTCGAATCTCCTTGGGTGCACACTTTTTCTTCTGACTTGGACATTTTCCCATGGACACAATGTGTGTCAGTCCTGAGAACACCTCTTGGAGTCGATCCTACAAAGAACCTTGTGACACTTCCATCGAATTACCCATCCTGGCCACAAAAGGTTCCCAGTTGAGGGTAAATTCTGTGGGTGGAGAGAGTAAAGGAGGACCCGATTCGCAGGGCATCCGTCGATTGACGTTTACCCGAACTGGTACACCTTCGCAGGTACCCACTGCTGCCGCAGCGCGGTGGTAACGTGTGTTTACGACGTGAACTCTCAGCACCTTGGTGTAGATGACCAAGTTTGCGCGTTTGCTTGTGGTGCCGTTGACCGATGACGGCGTTGCAATCTCCAGAAATCTCCAAAACCACGTTCTCTCGTTGTCCACGGATGAAGGCTGATGTCCCAAGAGGAGGTTGCCTTGATCTTCCCGTGATACTCGCAGCTCGTAGTGTGTGCGTTAGCCGAGGCTCATAACCTGTCAGCGGACGCTGTGCACTAGCAGCAGCATGATGCTGCAGATGCCAGGAGGCTGTGTAGCCTACCTCAGAGGTTCACACTCTGTGCGGCTCCAACCGCGAGAGACTTGGAATGGAAATATGAAGATGTTTTTACAAATTGCTGACTCCCGAGTCAGATTGATGTTGCTGGTACTGAAGAGAAGTGATAGGGGTGGCGAGCTTAGGGCTGCACCCTTCTCCTCGAATACCGGACAAATAAGCCAATCAAACGAAATATCTAGAATGCTTCCAGAATGCTTCTGGAATCCCTCCTACGTTCTAGAAGACTATCAAGTGCAACCATGTGTTAAGGAGTGTGGATGCTAGCATGAATAGGGTACATCTTATTGTTGATACGATGCGGGTCGGTCAGGAGGTTTACCCTTCTGACCCCTACCCCCTTGGAATTGTCTACTCTGTGTACCCCCTGAGATGAAGTTGGATCCCCACTTCATCGCACACCCTTGCTGATCGTCTCTTAGTAATAACAAGCAACTTGCCCATCTCAACGTGGTCGTGGACAAGCGTGTCAACGACAGAACCTTCCACAATCTCGAGGAGCAAGCTACCGCCCACGGCTTCTCCTCCTTTAAACTTGGCGTCAGCTGGCATTACACGGTAAGCGGGTGCTGGACGCGGCTTCCACACTGCTGTGTGTTGTTGCCACGCTTTCTTCACAACCACCGGGTTGCTTGTTATTTGGTCTCACCACCCACGAGAATCTAGACCTAGCCTCTTCTCTGCTTCCTCTTCTTTAGGGATGCTGGCTTGTGATGCTTTTGCGAAGCGCCCGCGGGACTGGGACCTTGCGAAGGATACGCGCCTCGGAGGCCATCGCGATGTTTTGGGTGATTTTTCGTACGTTCGCCGTCCCTCAAAAGCTATTTTGTCTGCATCGGCGGTCCATGAAGTGATTTCTGTGGCGGATACCCTCTGCAAGGGGCGCCCTGAGTTGCTGGCCTTGTGTAGTGGGATCCGAGATGACAGCATGCTTACCACGTCTGCTACCACCTCTACTGCATTCATGCCGGCGTACCGGCCGATGTCCGCGGATTTTCCTGTTGTGCTCTCCGATTTGACTCCGCTTACTTCGACTTGGAGCGCGTTGTGTGCACACAGATAGGGTGTCAGCCGTCCCACCAGCCTTCCCTCCATTTTTCGAAATCACATGTCACTTTTTTTCGGGGAATCGTTCACCCTCAAAGCATTTGAATTGGAAACCTTTCAACAGCGCAAACCCACAGCGGTCATTGCTCGCACTTCGGCACCAGTTGCACTTCGGCACCAGTTGCGGAGGAACGCCGTGCTGCTCTGCGTGTCTTTTGGTAGGAAAACCTCGTGTCTCCATCTAGGACGGGTCCCTTTGTGCTAGCTTCTACTGCTGTTTGTGCTTGGCATCGAATGCTTTTGGTCACTTTTCTGCTTGGTTGGATCCGCTTCAACCTCGTGTGCACCAAGCTTTTACCACTGGGCGTATGACATCCTGTGGATATCTCCGCCTTTCGCATGGACCTCGGCTTGCTTTCCCGAAGTTGCACCCAGCTTTACTGCTTCTGCTGCTCTTGGTCCTGCTGCCTCAACTGCGGTTGGTTATCCTATATCTGCTGTTTCTGGCCCTGCTGCCCTTTCCACAATCGATCGTAGCTACCCTCTACCTGGCCCTGCCTTTGGTAAAGAAGAGCACAACATGTCCAGCGGCAATGTGGAACTCCTGGGCGACAATGTGGAAATCCTGGGTAACGAAGCCGATGGCGAGGCTCCCACCGCAGAGCGGTTTCCAGCGGCCGGTGCGGGAGACGAGAGCCGCCCCATGCCAATAGTTTTCACCGTCAATAATTTGCTGGCCAACATCGCCACGGCAGATCCGGCGGAACTGGAGCGGGCCTACAACACTGGACGTATCTCTCTGGAGGATATTGTCGTAGCGGCCTGTCTGTCGTCTGATTTTCCCCTTTTCGTTCCTCCTTTCTCGCTTCTCCCGTAAGAAAAATTGCTCCTCCTACCCCACGATGAGTTTATTGCCTATCAAGCGTTGAACGAGATGTGGAGCAACGGTCTTGACAAAAAGGTCGCAGACGCGGAAGCACGGGAGAAGGAAGAGCGCGAGGACGCACAGCACGAGGAGGAGCGTGAGGCTGCTCGGGCTGCTGCTGCGAGGAAGCAGGCGGAGGAGCGTGAGGCTGCTCGGGCCGCTGCTACGAGGAAGCAGGCGGAGGAGTGTGAGGCTGCTCGGGCTGCTGCTGCGAGGAAGCAGGCAGACGAGCGTGCGGCTGCGCTGGCAGAGCGTGAGGTGTATCTCCAAGCTGCTAGGGCGAAGCAGGGGGCGCTCCGAAGGCGCCTGGGGGACCTGGAGCCCCGCCACCAGGACCCGCGAGCAGCAGCTTTCCTTCGCCCTACCCCCGTCGTCGTATTATCGTCCCTCCCCAATCGCAATCCCAGGTGCCCCTTGGTTCCCGTCGTACCGCCTCGCCGCACGAGAAGGAGCGGAAGGTGGCGGCTACTCCGACGAACGAGAAGGGGCGGGAGGGGACAGCGACACCGGAGCTTTCTGTGACGTTGGGTCTTCCGGTCGCTGCTGAAGACGGAGCATCGTTTGCGGCCGCAACCACGGAGTACGAGTTCCATGTTGGCGATACAGCGTTTCTGTCCCGCCCACTGGAGATGCCAGCCGAAGAAGTAACTTTCCACGACGAGGACGAATTGGCAGCTCTTTTTGCATGGGCTGGCATAAAACAACTCGTCCGTGCTCAATTTCCCCACTCGCACACCGTTGCTTTCGGGCACATTTATCATGCCCCCTACATCGCGAACTTCCGCCTTCTTCGCGGCAGTTCGTGTTCCGGCTTTTGTTTGCTCTCCGTCGTGCCTCTTTTACCAGCGGTCCTCAAGGAACGTCGGTGATCACCGAAGATGGAGGACTCCAGCTGCCTCTTGCCCGTGCTGCCTCCAACCACGATTTCAAGCACGATCTACAAGTCACCCGGCCGGCCTCTTCACGCCCTGTACATGTTTCTGGAGGGGACAAGGATTGTAGTCGGTCGGCGGTTCCTGCGTCTAAGAGCTGGAAGAACCGTTGGGGTGACCAAGATTCGACAACCAAGAGCGGGACGGACGACCACCGCCGCTCCACCCAGTCTTCGCGAGGGCGCGGCGCCGGAGATGGCGGGCGAGGGCCAGCCGTGGGGATCCAGCCTACCAGGTCTTCGCCGGCGAGCCGCCACCGTCGGAGCAGGAGTCGGAGCGCAGAACGGCAACAGCGCACCAATCCTTCGTGTAGGCGTGGGCGCAGCCGGAGCGGAGACCGTCGTGGGAGAAACACGCCTTCGTCTGGGCGTAGCCACAGCCGGAGCCAGAACCGGAGCGGAGGCAACAGCAGGGCAACCAGCACTGACAGCAGTCGCGGCGGAAAAGGGGGACGGAAGTCAGGCCACGGTAACAGGCAAGTGATGCATGATCGGGGTGGTTTCGTAGCTCTGGGTTGTTGGGGGAACATAAGGATGCTTCAGAAGACGGTTCTCTCTATTCTTCACCGCTTGTTCTACGCCCGCCCGCTGATGTAGGCCAATCGACCATGGCTTCTTTGGCGTTCAAACTTGCCAACATGCAACTTCGTGAACATTCAGCCGCTGTGAGCCATGCCCCTGCCCATGCTGTTATGGATCATCCCACAACTTCCTTGCCTTTGGACGAACGTGTTGAGTCACCACGCCATGCTACATCACACGCCTCGACTTCCGCCTCCCGTACTGAAATGCTGTTGGAACAAGTAATCACTCTCCTGCGAGCAAATCAAGTTCTGGATGCTGCTGCCGACGCGAATGTACAATCTCCTGCGCCCTCCCACGCTCCTAGCGTGCAACCACCTGCCCCATATTTTTCCCCACGAACGCATCTGGCACCGCTGCAAGCCCACGCTTCGAGCTTTTCGGGAGCTCCTGTAGGGCGCGATGTTCGTGCCGAAACCGCTGCCAGGGCCACGTCAGGATCATTGTCATCAGCCACGATGTCGGCGACAGCACCGGTCGGACCTGCGGTGGAACCGTCAGCGTCGGCAGCCCCAGCCCTGTTGCAACAGTCTTTGGTGGTGTCGCCCCCCCCCCTCCAGCGTGCGTCTATTCTGATTAATCCTAGCTCTGCTACCGGCCACATCGTCGAGCCACCGGGTCAAGCGACATCGCCATTGACTCAGGACGATGCTGGTTTTCCTTTGTCTTCCACGGGAGCGAGAGCGAGGCAGGAGGCTCTGGACGCTGCGGACGCTGCTGCAGCGAAGGCCGACACCATCCGCATTCAAGACAATATGGACAAGCTGAAGCCGAAACAACTTGATAGTGTCAGACGATTGACCCTCGGTCCTGATCCTGATGAATTTGCTCGTTTCGCGACTAGCTGCAAGGGTGTGGTCACAGAGATCCTCAACAAAAGCGACGTCAAGCGCAAGCAGACTTTCAATTCCTCCACCTGGGTCACCGG